AGCTGTCTAAGCTATAAAATGCACATCCCCAGCACAAAGGAGGACTTGTTTCATTCTGTATTTTCTTAGATTAGCATGCTAACCTGCTGTATTGCCTCAGACTGTTGTAGCTATCTAAACAGTTAGCTTAACCAGCTGGACTGAAGTTGTTATGATTCCCTATTAGAAAAAACAGCGTAGACCAGCACATCTGGTCACCACCAACGCCAGCATATGTTGTGTTTTGGGTGCTAGTATGCTAGTTTCCCAGCATGAACCACCACCAGACCACCATAAACCAGCATACACTTTAAAAAAAAAGGATGGTTCTTCAAGGGCTCTTTAGTAAGTTGTTCTATACAGAACCATGAACACTCAAAGAACCATTTGGATTCTTAAATTGTTCTGTATATGGTGAAATTGTTCTTCAGATTGATGAAGAATGTGTTGTAAATGGTTCTATATAGCACCAAAAAGGGTTCTGCTATTATTACAATGTCAAGCTTGTCACAAATATGTAGAACCATTTTCAAAAAGGTTCTTTATAAAACCTTATACATCTCATTCTCCATCAGTCTGAGGAATGATTTCACCATGGAAAGAACAATTTAAGCATGAAAAGCGTTCTTTGAGTGTTCATGGTTCTGCACAACCATTGTCTTTACTAAAGAACCCTTGAAGAACCATCTTTTTTAAGAGTGTAGACCAGCAACAGACCAGCATTAGACCAATAAAAGCCAGCTTAGACCAGTTTAGACCAGCATCAACCAACACAGATTAGCTTAGACCAGTATGGAATGCATGCTGGTCTGTGCTGTTTTTCAGCAGGCTAGATATCACTCATTGTCACAACAGTGGTTGAATGCTGTGGAGATGCTAATGGCTAAACTGAGTAAGTACTAGTCACATAACCCTGCCAGAGCACCTCCTTCCAGCCCAAGATCCAGCCTAGATCTCAATATCCACTGAGCCGCCTCGCTGAGTGATTTGCACCAAAATGAAGCCGCAGAGCTAAAAACGTGTGGACAGTTACAGAGACAGTGCAGTCTGAAGGCCATCTGTGGAGTCAGACTCACTTCTACAAATAGACTCAAATCAAATATCACTGATTGCCATCACAGCATCAGGAGACCATTTGACCAGTCCAGTTGATGCACGTGCAGTTATACGTTCCACTGGGGTATAACAATAGGCCTCTATATTGAAAAAAACTTCTAATGGGTTCGGTGAAGTGTGAGCAAAGCGTGAAAGCTGAACTGACGAGTCAGTAAGTGGACTTTGGAAGAGCTAAGTTACTGTAGAATTGTAAAAAGTAGGCACATAATAGTATAACGTATTATAACAGAGCATACTGTTTTGTATTGTATCCCAGTACAGTAAAGAAACATATCTCTGCTGTCGGAATAAAACCTCGTATCTCCATTTCTGTCGTTTTTCAGTTTTTGACATAATTTTAAAGTACCCGTGGTCCTATACATTGTGTTTAAATTTCATGAGGAATGGACTTAAAGAAATGACCCAAAATTTCTTGGAAAAAAATCTGGTTCCATTGACTTACATTAAAAGTAGAGTATGTTTTTTTCTTCTCCTGTAAAGTTCTCATTTAGGAGATACAGGGTTTTGACCCACCAGCAGCGATATGTGAATTTATACATTTGGAAATGTACAACAATGGCAAAAACACATTTGTTTTATGAAATGTAGTGTTATGAATACATTTAGGAAAGAAACTATTTATTCATGGGTTGTATTGTTGTATAGTGAATAGCTTTAGCTATTCAATACATTAGCTGGTGGCTAGAGCCTTAGGTTTAGCATTATTTATTGTAATTGTATGACACTGAATGTTCTTATAAACTGAAAATGTAGTAGAATATTAATGTAATACACATTTTCAGCCTTTAATATTTATGCTGAAAAATGTACTGAATTAAGGTACCACTGTATTATATTGAATCGAATAATGCATATTTTGAAATTGTCTCTAGTAAAAATTCAAATACAAGTTCACAAAGTGTGCAATAAGGCTGTAGATTGGTAGACTGGTGGACTGGTAGACTAGTAGATTGGTAGACTGGTAGATTGGTGGACTGGTACACCGGTAGATTGGTAGACTAGTAGATTGGTAGACTGGTAGATTGGTAGACTAGTAGATTGGTAGACTGGTAGATTGGTAGACTGTTAGATTGGTAGACTGACAGATTGGTAGAGTAGTAGATTGATAGACTGGTTAACTGGTTGATTGGTAGACTAATAGACTGGTAGATTGGTAGACTAATAGACTTGTAGATTGGTAGACTGTTTGACTGGTAGATTGGTAGACTGACTGGTAGCTAGGTAGACTGTAAGATTGGTAGACTTGTACACTGATAGACTGGTAGACTGGTAGACTAGTAGATTGGTAGACTGGTGAATTGGTAGATTGGTAGACTAATAGACTGTTTGACTGGTAGCTTGGTAGACTGGTAGACCGATAGATGGTACATTTGAACTGCACTTGTACTTGAGAAGACAAGTAGATTTGAACAAAACCTCCAAATGCATAAAACCTTGGGTGCACAAGACCTGAGTGTTTTTAGACAGCACCCACTGTGCCACATGTCTTCTACACATGTTTAAAAGCAGGCCTGGTAGAGAGCAGAGCGCCACGGGAGAGAATGAGAACCACCTGTCCGGTCTACAGAACACAAAGAGAGCCCAGCTCAGACAGAAAATTCCAGAAAACCGCCTCAAAGCCACAGACCCCATTACCGTGTGAGGCACATTAACCCATCAGGGCTTCGCAGAGACAGGGAGAGTTATTAGGACACTGACGACCCGGCAGCTCTCCGAGCCTGAGGTGCTGTAACCTAACCCAAAAATTCCAACACATTTCCCCAACAAGTGGGGTCAGGTTCAACACAGCTGAGCGAAATCTACTCTTCACCAAATTCATACGTTCACAAGTGTTGGCTGACGTGTGGAAGATATACAACATTCACCATCCAGAACTAACGGTTATTTTACTGCAATTACACTGGAGAATTAGCAGCACAAATACACAACTCCTAGCAGTGGAATTGGCAAAAAGGCATGAATTAACGAGTAACTCATAATTAGTATTACAGAGAGCCGCACTGATAGCCGCACTTAGAGCCGCACCGAGAACCGCACTGATAGCCGCACTTAGAGCCGCACTGAGAGCCGCACTTAGAGCCGCACTTAGAGCCGCACTGATAGCCGCACTTAGAGCCGCACCGAGAACCGCACCGAGAGCCGCACCGAGAGCCGTACAGAGAGCCGCACTGATAGCCGCACTTAGAGCCGCACTTAGAGCCGCACCGAGAGCCGCACCGAGAGCCGTACAGAGAGCCGCACCGAGAGCCGTACAGAGAGCCGCATTAAGAGCCGCACCGAGAGCCGTACCGAGAGCCGCACCGAGAGCCGTACAGAGAGCCGCACTGAGAGCCGCACCGAGAGCCGTACCGAGAGCCACACTGAGAGCCGCACTGATAGCCGCACTTAGAGCTGCTCTGAGACCCGCACTGATAGCTGTACTGACTCCGCTTCAGCTATGCTGTATGTCTAGATGACGCCGTGGGGAGGAGACAGTATCAGTCACGCTGTGATCTGTGCTAAGCTTGGCTTTCAGTGAATCCTCTCTGAATGTGATTAATTTGTGGGATGTTCAATGAATTCCACTTTCCATGTTTTTCAAAGAGCGGAAGATGTCGCTGTGGGATTTCTCCCGTTGGCCATCGCTCATCCAGGTGCTGATTTGGACTTCACAGTGGGTGTTCCTCATCCAGACTGACTCTGATCTACAGTTTTCCTTTTACAAACCACTTATTTTTTTAGTGCAGTTCAGTTCTGTTTTATTTGCATGGTGTTTTTCTCCCACAGCCGTCGTCCCAAAGTAATACAGACCGTGTGGAGGCGTTCAGTGTCTCTAATAGTCTTGATTACATGGTTTCTGACTCTGTATGACTCACTGATATCTATAAGTGGCCTGTGATTTCTGTGTCCCTAATCAGGGGACATAAGCTAATCTGCACCCTATCAGAGATCAGATCATGTAATTTCACTCTACACTCATTCACACTGCTCCCACTCAGGTCCTGGAGGCCCCTCTCCTGTGCATGCTAGTGTTTCCTCACTCTAACACACCCACCACAGCTCATTAATGAGCTGATTAGTCTGATCAGGCGTGTTACAGCATGAAAAACACCTAAACATGCAGAACAGGGAGCCTCCAGGACCTGATTGAGACCTGCAGGGTTAACGGAAACATTACAGCACTGACCTGCATCTGTGAAAGGCCACGAATCAAACCTCAACCAAGCGCTGACAGGCGAAGGTCTGCACTGCCGCTACAAGCCTGAACCAGTGAGTGCACAGGGGGGCCACGGAGGTTAACCCCTCACTCTCACTCTCACTCTCAAATGCTCACTCTCTCACTCTCATTCTCTCACGCTCTGACTCAAACTCTCACTCTCGTAACCGCAGCACTTACAAATTAAGTTCACAGTAGATACTAAATTATCTTAAGTTTGGCTATTTAGTACTTAAAATAAATATTTCAGTATCTACAACAAATTATTCAGTATCTAATATGAACTTTTCAGTATCTACTATGAATTTTTCAGTATCTACTATGAATTTTTCAGTATCTACTGTGAATATTCAGTTCTACACATATCAGTACTATGTCAGTATTATGTGAATTTCAGTACCTACTATGAATTATTCAGTATCTACTATGAATTATTCAGTATCTACTGTGAATTATTCAGTACCTACTATGAATTATTCAGTATCTACAACAAATTATTCAGTATCTAATATAAATTATTCAGTATCTACTATGATTTTCAGTATCTACTGTGAATTATTCAGTATCTACTATGAATTGTTCAAAATCTACTGTGAGTTATTCAGTATCTGTTCTGAATGATTCAGTATCTGTTCTGAATGATTCAGTACCTGTTCCACTGATTAATTATTCCACTCTCTGTGTTCCTGAATGTGAGTTTGCTCCGTACCTGTTGACGTAGCGGCGGCCGCTGTGTGGAGGAGAGCGAGCAGCAGTAAAGATGCAGTGGCTCCCGCCATATCGCCACCGCCGGCTGGACAAACCTGGGGTCAGTTCCACTTCAGCAGAGCACGAGAAAGAGAGAGAGAGAAAGAAAGAGAGAGAGAAGCAGTGTGGCACAGCTGTGCCAGTGTAAACGACAGAGAGAGAGAAGGAGCCTTTACAATCCCTCCAACAGTGCAACAGTGAAGAGCTGACTTACAGCTCTCTACATCTCTCTCCCTCTCTCCCTCTCTCTCTCTCTCTCTCTCTCCCCCTCCCCTCTCTCCTCTCGGTGGTATGTGAGTGCACATGGTCAGAGATTTTATGTTTTTCTTTACTCTTCTTTTCCCGATTATTCCTAAGCGCTGTGTTTTCTCTTTCTTTGACTATTTCTTCAAAACTTTGATGCAGAATTTTATGAGCACTCAGTGCAAAACTCTGCAGGACTGAATCTGTGGGGAAAAGAGATTCAGTCCTGCGTTATTATATGTTATAATAACCCAAGAATTTGTGGGATGTTTTTTGGTATTTTGGGTCAATTTATTATTAAGTATTTACATGTGACAGTCACACATGCCATATATTGTTATTATTTTCAGGCTGCTCAGATATGCCATTATTAGACAGTAAATGCTAACAGGAATATGATATCTTTATAAATTTGGGTCATTTTTTATCAAAAATTTACCGAGCGCCGGCAAAATTTTGTAAATTGTTGCTTATAGAGATCTTGAAAACAAGTTGCACCTCAGATACCTTTTCAGAAATTCTTAGTCTGGAGTGTCTGTGAGCCGAAAGTGCAATAATTTTGATGGTGATTCATTCTAATCTGGTTGTTATGAGTAAAAAATATTTGTACTGATATTTTTTTATTGATATTCTGTCCTCTTGGATTCATGCTGAGTGCTAAAACTCTGATACACAGCAAGACTGGCTATATTGCACATTTAATATCAGACGTTTTTAATATTCAAAATCAATGTAAACTGAAAGACGGAGCTAAATATTATTAGATTTATGTTAAAGTTACAATTGTATGCTAATTGTCTAAGTTAAATTAAGTCACATTCTGTATAGAGAACATACTTAATTATGGACATTTCTCTGCTCATTTTAATGCACATTTTCTATTTGATGAGTTTAACATATTGGGGAAAAATAAACAATAAAAAAAGGGAAATGTGCCACATTTTATATATTTTTCTTCCTGATATGTTAAATTCAGCAAATTAACAGTATTTGTACATTAAACTGTGTAGAGGTGTGTTCTCTGTAGAGGATGTTTAACTGCCCCCATCAGATAAACAGCACTTAAAGCTTTCATCTCTGAGAGAGAGGAGAAAATCAAGCTGCTTCAGATCTGAAAACATCCACAGGTGTTTCTGTCCATCCTTCCACTGTGAGAAGACGACTCAGCGCTGTGGGTCTGAAAGGATGTGTAGCTGATCAAGAAGAACCTCACTGAGAAAAGGAGACGGACACATCAAACAAAGAAGCTGAACGATGGACTGACCACCCCAGAGTCCAGACCTCAACACCACTGAATGTGTTTGATTACTTCAGAAAATGATCAACCAGCTTCTAAGACTGAACTTTGGAGGCGTGTCTGCAGTTCCTTACACTGAAGGATAAGTAGCTTGTATATAATGACTGTTTTAACTGGAAATGAGATGAGTGAAGGGTGGTCTCTGACTGCTGCCCAGTACTGCGTTTACCTGTCTCTCTTTTTATGCTTATATAATGGAGTGAATTATGTATTATTTTAACCCCTTAAATGACCTCGGCCACCGGCAGGCCCAAAGCTTTATTACACACTTATATAACACTAAGAATAACAGTCGGTTTACATTGAAGTCCCTGTAGTTGCTGAACAATAAGCCTTAGTATGTAATAAGCCTGAGATTTTAAGTGGTTAATAAGGTATGTTTAAGATTGGTTGGTGTTGTTTTTATATTTTAATTTATGCTAATCGCTAATGAGCACTTTTCCACTGAGAACAATTAGCGAAGTCATCTCAGCCGCAGTGCTCAGCGGATGGAAAGGGATCTTTCTCCTATTCACACACACAGTGGAACATGCTAGAACAGGATCTTGAGCTGCCCACCTAATAAAATATGCTCTGGCACATTCTACATTCCTATGACTGCCTGCTCCGAGGCGAAAGGTTTACATTCGTGTAGGCAGGCTGTGGTATCTGAAGCGCTCAAAGGGGGGATCAGGTTCACCGTCAATCAGGAAGGGACAAAGCTGGAGCACAAGTCATATTGTTGCCATTGCAAATAAATGGAAATAAAAGAAGGACATCAGTCTACCCCATTCATGCTCCACCCACAAACGTTTTCTTTCATAGCTGTTTAAAATTCTATGCTATTGAGCTGGACAGTGTTTATAGTTAGATCAAGATAGCTGGACAGTTGGAAATAACAATGAATTTGCCACCATTATAACATGACATATTAAAATCAATACATGGCTACAAGCTAAAAAAATCTGATAAAGCCTTAGCCTGGTCCCACCAGGCCAATTCACCTCAATGGGAAAGAACGCAGGGACGCAAAAAAGCTATTTACTTCTGGAAGCTGTTAATTTGACTTTTTTATTAAGGTGAACACTGAGAATTTACAAACCTCAGAAGCCAACAAAAAAGAGGCTAAACAGAGGATCTGCTCTTCAATCAACATAATGTTGCTTGTCGTCTACAGTCAGAAAGAAACAAACTAGTTAACTGGCTTTACATTACCCATTCACCAAGCTATATGTTCCCTCCGAGTGAATCACTGATAGGTAATACCAATGACAGTTACACCACTGATAACTAACCACTGATAATTACACCACTGATAGTCACATCATTAAAAACTACACCATAGATAATTGCACCATTGACAACTACACCACTGAGAGTCACACCACTAACAACTACACCTTTGATAATTACCCCACTGATAACTACATCATGGGTACTGACAACTACAACACCGATGACTACACCATTGATAATTACACCACTGCCAGCTACACCACTGATAGTCACACCACTGACAACTACACCATTCATAAGTACATTCATGGTAACTGCAGCACTAAAGGTCACACCACTGAGAACTACACCACTGATTACAGTACTGAGAGTTATACCACTGATAGTCACACCACTCACAATTATACTGCTGATAGTTACACCACTGAGTTACACAAATGATAATTACACCACTGATAGCTACACCACTGATAGTCATACACCTGAAAGTTGCTCCATCTATAGTTACAACAGTGATAGCTACATCACTGTTAGTTAATTTACTGATAATTATATCACTGATTTTTTGACTATTTACACCAATAATAGTTACAGCACTGATAGTTAAACTACTTATAAATGCACCACTGAAAGATACACCACGGTGGTAATACCAATGCTAATTACACAACTGATAATTACACCACTGACAGTTATATTGCTCATAGTCACACTGCCGATAATACCACTACTGAGAGTTACACCACTTATAGTTTCACCACTGATAGTGACACCACTGAGAGTTACACTACTGATAACTACACCATTGAGAGTTACACTACTGATAACTACACCATTGAAAGTTAGACCACTGAGAGTTACACCACAGAAAACTTCACCACTGATAGTTACACAATTGATGATAACACCACTGATTAGTTACACCAATGACAATTACATGACTGATAGTTACAGGTCTGAGAGTTACACCATTGATAGCTACACCACTGAGAGTGACACCACTGATAATTACACCACTGCTAGTCACACCACTGATAGTCACACCACTGGCAGTTACAGCAATGATAGTTACAACACTGATAAATACACCCCTGAGAGCTAAACCACTAAGTTACACCACTGAGAGTTACACCACTGATGATTACACCATTGCTAGTCACACCACTAATAGTTACACAATTGATAGTCACACCACTTACAGTTACAGCAATGATAGTTACAACACTGATAAATACACCCCTGAGAGCTACACCACTGAGAGTTACACCACTGATAATTACACCACTGAGAGTTACACCACTGATGATTACACCACTGCTAGTCACACCACTGACAGTTACAGCAATGATAGTTACAACACTGATAAATACACCCCTGAAAGCTACACCACTAAGTTACACCACTGAGAGTTACACCACTGATGATTACACCATTGCTAGTCACACCACTAATAGTTACACAATTGATAGTCACACCACTTACAGTTACAGCAATGATAGTTACAACACTGATAAATACACCCCTGAGAGCTACACCACTGAGAGTTACACCACTGATAATTACACCACTGAGAGTTACACCACTGATGATTACACCACTGCTAGTCACACCACTGACAGTTACAGCAATGATAGTTACAACACTGATAAATACACCCCTGAGAGCTACACCACTAAGTTACACCACTGAGTTACACCACTGATAATTACACCACTGATAGTTACACCCTTGATAGTCACACCACTTACAGTTACAGCAATGACAGTTACAACACTGATAAATACACCACTGCTAGTCACACCACTGATGGTTACACCATTGATAGTCACACCACTTACAGTCACAGCAATGACAGTTACACCACTGATAAATACACCACTAAAAGTTATGCCACTGATAATAACACTACTGATAAATACACCACTATTTGTTCCTCTACTAATAATTGCACAAACAATAATTTCTTCACAGATAGTTACAGCACTAATAGTTACACCAATGACAACTACACCACTGATAATTGCACCACTGACAACTATACCACTGATGGTCACACCACCAGTAGTAACACCACTGATAATTACACCACCAGCAATAAATACACTACTGATAGTTACACCACTGATAACTTCCCCACTGAGAGGTACATGATTGATAATTACACTAGCATGCTCTACAGTTTCTTATTATATCGAGTCTCATAAAGTAGCTATGAAAGAATATATTTGTGCATGGAGCCCGGAGAGAATAATTGCATACATGCAAATAAATTATTTTAGTGTTAACCAATTAACATCCCAGGCTTATTGTAAACAAAGGCTTACTATTCAGTAACTACAGGGACGTAAGCTCAGTGGTTCAGCTATTCTTAGGTTATAGAAGTGTGTGATAAACCTTAGCCGGCAGGCCCAAGGCTCGTTAAGAGGTTAATCTAATTATTATATCTGAATGATCTTGTAGTAATATTAGAATAATAAATGCTAGAGGGCCCCCAAAGCCGCGCCTCCCCAGCCTCTTTCCCCACCCAACAGCTCCTAAGGTAAAATCTATCGAAGTAGGTCATCATGTCACAGAGTCTGGACATTTAGCCATCATTCACTCATGGACGTTCTGAGGCTGACAGGACCCAGAGGGAGAGAGATGGTGGGCGGGGGGAGAAAGTGAGGGGGTGAAACAGCAGTTAGATAAAAGAGTGGAGAGAAAAAGAGGTTTGACATATGGGGGCTGTTTGGGGTGAAATTGAAACACTTGCACACCATGATCTCCCTCTCTCTCTCTCTCTCTCTCTCTCTCTCTCTCTCTCTCTCTCTCTCTCTCTCTCTCTCTCTGTTCTCACTCTCTCAATGCTCTCTCTCTTTGTTCTCTCTCTCTCTCTCTCTCTGTTCTCTCTCTGATCTCTCTCTCTCTGTTCTCTCTCTGATCTCTCTCTCTCTGCTCTCTCTCTCTTTGTTCTCTCTATCTCTCTGTTCTCTCTCTCTCTCTCTGTTCTCTCTCTCTCTCCCATTCTCTCTCTCTGTTCTCTCTCTGATCTCTCTCTCATTCTGCTCTCTCTCTCTCTGATCTCTCATTCTGTTCTCTCTCTCTCTCCCATTCTCTCTCTCTCTCTGTTCTCTCTCTCTCTGTTCTCTCTCTGATCTCTCTCTCATTCTGCTCTCTCTCTCTCTCTGATCTCTCTCATTCTGTTCTCTCTCTCTCTCTCTGATCTCTCATTCCGCTCTCTCTCTCTCTCTCTCTCTCTCTCCCTGTACGTATATAACTGAATGCAGCTCCTCTGAATTCCAGACATTTCTCCTGAAGCTCTGTCCATTTTAAACTTACTGTGGACTGAAAAAAGTGTTGCTTTGAACACATTCACTCAATATATACTCTTAAAAAATGTATGTATTAAGTTAAAAGTACTGAATATATAAAATAAAACAGATTACAGAATATATAATACAGAAAATAATGCATTTGGTGAGAACATGATTGAATCATGAATCTGACGTACACTTCTTCTTAGGATCTTTCTCAAAGATCATTTAAGAACAAACTTAGGAAGATACTGGTGAATGAGGACCAACGTTCTTTAATTATCATGTGTGCTTTAATATTCACAAACTCCTCCGCCAGAAAAAGTAGTCCGCTGTTGTATTACAGACAGAGCAATAAAACCGTGTGAATATCAGGTTGAGCTCAGCTTTTTCTGTTTTTCAGATGAAGCTCAATGTGATTTAGTTCAGTCTGATTCAATCAGAGTCTGATTCTGATTCAATCTTTTTTATGTGCATTTAGAAGTTGTTATATATCAAGAGTAAAGCATAGATATGTCTGCATGCGGTGTTTGTGGTTTGTATGGAGTGCTGGATCTCTGTGTGTGAGGGATTGTAATAGTGTTAAATCGACACTGGAGGGCGCCAGAGCTTTCTATTTTAGCTCAGATCCTTTTTTCCAGATTATACAATAATCCAGACTGATGGATTACACACACACACACACACACACACACACACACACCACAGTTAGACTGTATCAGTAATTTTAATGAACATTTAAGCAACTTAATAAACAAAAAATAATATTTTAAATGATATATAAAGAGTAAAATGAGTATAGGAGGTAAAAATAATTGAATATATAAAGCAAACACAACACATGAAGTAAATGTGAGCCTAAAGGTTACAGATTATGTGAAATTAAGTGAAATTTATGTAGTATATAAAGTAAACAATAATTAAATATATACAAAATACTTATGTAAAATAAGTAGATTAGCTAAAAAAATGTTTAATAGATAAAGTAAACATCACACAATATATAAAGTAAATGCTCTAGAATTTACTTTATAATGTATACAAATATCATGGAGTGTATAAATGGAAGTGTAATCATTAAATTAAGTCAAAATTATGGAATATTTAAGATAAAAATGAGAAGCTAAAAATGACTCAATCTATAAATAAATCATTACTGAATAAAATATGTAGGGTAAATGCATAAAATGTTAATAATACAGAATTAATTGAAAAATATTCAATATATAAAGCATAACAAATAAGTATAATAAGTAAGAAACGTGAACATAGTACTGTATAAGTGTTTGAGTGGGAGAAAACTCGGCCAGGAGAGTGTCCACTAATCCCGGCTCACACATGTGACCACAGGCCCTGTCTGTTTATCCTCTTTGAGAGTTACTTTAATCTCTCTCTCTCTCTCTCTCTCTCTCTCTCTTTCTCTGTCTGTCCGTGAGGAGACGTGATGGCGGCGGGGCAGAAAGTGGTTCTGATCACCGGCTGCTCGTCCGGAATCGGCCTGAAGATCGCCGTTCTCCTCGCCAAGGACGAGAAGCAGAGATATCACGGTCAGTGAGGTTGGTCGGAGGAGGATGGTCCCTTTAATTTAACCCCTTAAACTCCACACTCTGGTTTCAATCTTTAGAGTTTCTGTTCAGTGATTATGGCACAAAAAAATGATCACAGATCTTAAATGTGGTCAGTATGCCACACACTCTTAAAAAAGATGGTTCTTCAGGGGTTCTTTAGTAAAAACAGTGGTTCTATATAGAATCATAAACAGTCATAGAATTATTTGCATGGTGAGATGGTTCTTCAGATTGATGGAGAATGTGTTGTATATGTATTCACATAAAGCCTTTTTGAAAAGGGTTCTAAACGGCACTAAAAAGGGTTCTTCTATTGTTACAAGCATGGTACATAGAACTCTTTAAAAAAAAAGGCTCTATATAAAACCATATATAACACATCCTCCATCAATCTGAAGAACCATTTCACAGAATAAAACAATTTAATCATACAAATGGCTCTTAGGATGTTCATGGTTCTATACAGAGCCATTTTCAGGAGACGTCTGTGGGGAAATTAGAGATAAGATTTTTTTTTCTTTACTAAAGAACCCTTGAAGAACCATCTTTTGTAAGTGTGTAGGCAAAAAGCAGGAATGCGGCCCTTCGATCCAAATGCACAACATTGCAAAAAATGACATCTTGGTAAGTGAAATCTTCTTACATCTGGTCGATACATCTAATATTTCTCATTTTGAGACTGTTGTGAAAATATTATAAGATTATTTAACTTATGTCTGGATATTTTTGCACTTTTTTTAAATGAAAATTATCTCACTTTAGGCAGATAATTTAGATTTTTTATGAAAGGATGTCTGAAACACCTTACATTACCTGCCAAAAATCATGAAATAATTTGGTACAGAGTACAGTTCAATTTATATAGTGCCTTTCTCAAACCCAAGAATGCTCAGAAAATAAAGAAATACATAATCAACAATAAATAAAACAACACAGGACATACTTTGTAGAAACACATGATTACTTAGGAAGATCTTTTCAAGCTCATTGTTCTGCAGAGCGGCGGCACGGTGGCGCAGTGGGAAGCGCTGTCGCCTCACAGCGAGAAGGGCCTGGATTCGATTCCCGGCCAGGTGACCAGGGTCATCTCTGTGTGGAGTTTGCCTGTTCTCCCCGTGTCTGTGTGGGTTTCCTCCGGGTACTCCGGTTTCCTCCCACAGTCCAAAGACATGCAGTCAGGCCAATTGGACATGCTGAATTGCCCCTAGGTGTGAGTGAATGTGTATGTCTGTCTGTCTGCCCTGCGATGGACTGGCAACCTGTCCAGGGTGTATCCTGCCTTCCGCCCAATGACAGCTGGGATAGGCTCCAGCACCCCACCGCAACCCAGAAGGATAAGCGGTTTAGATGATGTATATATGTATGTTCTGCAGAGCGCTGACCTGTGTCATATTTCTTGACTGCTGGATCCTCTGTTGTGGACAAAAGCTGTCCACCTCTTCCACATCTTCTCCACCACGGTAAAGCTAGCTTCCTTCCTGTTTGTTAGAAGCTTTATTTTCATTTTGAGATGAAGTTTCTTTTCACTCTGTTCTTCAACTTTGCTTATAAGGGCCTTCAGATCTTCCTGAATTTCGTTACGAGTGTTATATCACTCACATATTGAAGTTTATTGATGTTTGTGGAAGTAAATTGGCTGCAGTAAATTGATTTCCAATAAGCTCTCAGCGGCAACATAAACCTACAATTCAGACTAGAACACAAACACAACCAAAGGAAATAACATACTAAGCCTTATTATTCAGTAACTACATGAACTGCTGAGCCATTCGTAGGTTATAGAATGTCTAGTAAAACTTTGGACCTGCTGGTGGGGATTTGAGGAGTTAAACAAAGAGAGATAGAGAGAGACAACAAAACAAACGAGAGAGAGAGACAGAGAGAGACAAGGCCCTTATATGTAAGACTCTTTATCCCTACTTACCCTTAAGTCTCTTCAGCTATTTTCAGACCCAAACAATAGCAGATCACATATATAACACCAGAGCTGCACTGAAAACAGTTGTACCATCCTTTGACATCCTGTTTAACCTTTGGTAAGCTTTTCTTACCAACACATCTGACCCCTGATGACCTCTAAATCACATGCCTGGCAGCAGCCCTAATCAACTCAATCACCGCTCTAACTGAATAAATCTCAGGAATTTCTTTCTGACCAGTTGGACTGGATAGACAGATCCAAGGAGAGAAATACAAGGGGGTTCTGGGGGGGTGGGGGTCCAGGATCTCCTGATTGACCTCTTGGACCCCCGTATGTCTTAAAATCAAAGTTCTGGGGGGTACCTGAAAATAAATTTATTATGATGTTATGCTTTCTGTTTGGGTAAAATAGACACTCAAATCCAGACTCAGTGAAGCTCATTGTTTATCTGCTTCACCCCACAATCAGCTTCTGTCTCTGGTGTTCTTAACTAACTAGAGCTGCAGCACTGCTCTGCCTCAGGGTGGCGCTGTAGCAGACTGGTTCACCCAGTTGGTCCTTAGTAGCCTAGCAACTGTAACTATGCCCGGATTCCTCTGAAAAACTATATAATATGTCATAGCATATTTGTAAATCTCTGCCCTGCGATGGACTGGCGACCTGTCCAGGGTGTATCCTGCCTTCTGCCCAATGACAGCTGGGATAGGCTCCAGCACCCCACGCGACCCAGAAGGATAAGCGGCTTAGATGATGGATGGATGGATGGATATTTGTAAATCTGAAAACTCGCCCACATCCCCAGAAGCTGGTGGAAGGAGTGAATCTTTATTCATTTTTCAAACTGAAGACAGAAGAGAAGATCTCAGTTGATGTGTGCAAGAGCGCATTACTAAACTAGAAAAGAGTAACAACTGTTAAACCAAACATTTTGTTGCCATTGAAGCTAACATCAGTGTGGCTATGGCAAGTGGGTTAGCAGCCAACCAATGCTGGGGAAGCCAGCCAGCATGGATAAAGGTGACTGATCACAGCTTAGAGTGTTAACAGGTTGCAGCAGAGACTCTATTGTGACACCAAGGGTTTTTGCAGATGTACCTGATGGAACTGAGAAACTATTAGGTTTAAGAGTTAAATTAGTTTCTTTCTAGCAGCTTTTGGACCAAGAAGAAGAACCTCTGTTTTATCCGAGTTAAGTAGAAGAACGTTACTCAACATCCAGTCTTTTATGTCTTTTATACAGTCCTCAATCTTGCTAAGTTGAAATTTATCATGTGGTTTGGCTGATATATAATTGTGTGTCATCGGCATAGCAGTGGAAATTGGACTATTCACTGTTTACATTAACAAAGTAATAGCGAGGTAAGATCTGAACCAGGAAAGAGATGTTCCTGTTACCCCTACAAGGTTTTCTAGTCTATCTAGAAAGATAGAGTGGTCTATTGTATCAAATGCCGCAATAAGATCAAGGAGGACTAGCAAACATTTCCTTGGTCAGAGAATAATAAGAGATGGTTTACAGTTTTCACTAGTACTGTCTCTGTACTATGATGTGGCCTAAAACCAGACTGACGTTATTTATGTATATGATTTCTATGCAAACAGGAACTTAATTGTTTGATATAAAGGGAAAATTCTTACTTGATAAGTTACCATATTGTAATTTAAATTGTTTATTGATTTAACAGTTTATTGGTACCTTCTTATTATTAAATTGTACTTTTATAATTTTTATTATTTAATTATAGCATTTGATTTATTTTTTTACTGTACAACTTCTCAATCCCTGATTCCCGTATTACTCAGCTACATTGTAAATGAGGGTCTTCCTCAGTGTATTCCAAGTTTACATAAAGGTTGATTGATTGATTGATTGATTGATTGATTTGAGATAGGTCTATTATTTCTGGCAAAATTTCTTTGAGTAAACCTGTAGGAATTGGATCTTTTTCTGGAAGATTTTGAGGAGGTTCTTCAGTGGTATTTTCCATCATATGAGTCCTTCAGTGGTACCGTCCATCCGACAGGTCCATGAATTTTAGTATACATCAGACAGGTAGTGACTATTAGAGAAGTCCATTATTGTTGTATCCATCACAAAGGTCCATAAGTGTATTTTAGACATACACATTATTTGTACTGTTCATCAGAAAAATCAGTCAGTGTTAGTTTCCATCAGATAGGTCAGTCAGGTTTAGTGTTCATCATGCAATTTCACCAGTGACAGTGTCATTAGACAGGTCCATCAATGATGGTGTCTATGATACAGGTCCATCAATGATGTTGTCCATGATACAGGTCCATCAATGATGTTGTCTGTGATACAGGTCCATCAATTATGATGTTCACAATACAGGTCCATCAGTGGAAGTGTCCAGACCTCCATGAGAAGTGCTGTCCACTCTTTAGAACAGGGGTGTCCAGTCTTATCCACAAAGGGCTGGTGTGCTGGCAAGTTTTCATTCCAGACAAGCTGGATTCCACTTGTTTTATCAGTTGTTCAGCCTTTAAACAACTGATTATGTGCAGTCCTGCTACACTGGAATGAAAACCTGCTGCCACACTGGCCCTGTGCGGGTAAGACTAGACACCGCTGCTTTAGAAGTAGTGTCCATTACACAGCTCCATGTGTGGTGCTGTCCATAAGAGAGGTCTTTCAGAGTTAGTGGTCATCAGACAGACCCATGAATGGTGCTGTCCCTCAGACAGATCCTTTGGATGTAGTGTCCATCAGGCAGACCCATGAGTGGTGCTGTCCTTCAGACAGGTTCTTCAGAGTTAGTGGTCATCAAACAGACCCATGAGTAATGCTGTCCCTCAGACAGGTCCTTTGGATGTAGTGTCCATCAGGCAGACCCATGAGTGGTGCTGTTAGACACCATCTACATATCTCTTACTCCGCATCTCTTTCTTTCTTTCTGTCTACAGTGATAGCAACGATGAGGGACCTGAAGAAGAAGGATAAGCTGGTGGAGGCAGCTGGTGATGCCTATGGTAAAACTCTGTCCTTACTCCCACTGGACGTCTGCAGTGACGAATCCGTCAAACAGTGTCTGAACAGTGTCAAAGACCGACACGTCGATGTACTCAGTGAGTATACACACATAGCCCTTTATCTAAGCTATATAACTCCAAATATATGAGTTTAAGGACCTTTTCAAAAGCCTCTCTGAATTCGAGACAGGAAGCTCTGTTGTATTCTATTGTATTAAAATGCCAATTTAAATTAGTAGCCCCTTCCCCTGGTCAAATAATGAAAAATTGGCGCATTAAGTTAGTAGCACCTCTTATTGCCAAGATTATGTCCAATAGTTCTTCAGAAAACCACATTATGGAATGCAATGTAGTCTTAAAGAGATGATCAGCATCTTATTGGTGTGATTTCTTGCACTGTGGTGATGAAGTACTGAAGAGAACTAAGGAGTGATGCATCTTGTAGAATCCAAGATGACCCACAGGCTCTATTCACTGGGCAAACTGAGCTGAGCTGGTGGAGGGAATGCTTGGATGGCTGTTTAGACCAGGAGTGTCAAACTCAACCACTAAAAGGGCCATATTGAAAAATCTCAGTAAAACCGTGGGTCAGAGAACATCTATGGACCCCCTAGTTAACATCCAGGACCCCCTGAATGTCTCAAAATCAAAACTCTCATGGGGTTTCCTGAAGATGATAATGTTATGATAAAAAAAACCTTCAAATTCAGTTAAAGGTTCTTTTAGCCTGCCTCACTCAGGTGAGCTTCTGTCAAACTAGACCTGCAGCACTGCTCTGCCTCAGGGTGGCGCTGTTGAAAATTGGTTCACCCATTTGGTCCTTCACAGCTTAGCAACTGTAACTATGCCCGGGATACTTCTGACAAACTTAACAATGAGCTGCAGCAGATCTGTAAATCTGAAAACACGCCCAGTTTCCCAAGAGTTTGGAGTGAAGAGTGACTGTTCCTCATTTCTCACACTGAAGACAGAAGAGGAGACGAGGAAGATCTCAGTTACTGTGAGGAAGAGCGCAGAACCGCACTAGAACAGAGACTCTACAGAAGAGGAGACGAGGAAGATCTCAGTTATTTTTTTGCCACTGGAGCATCAGCACCGCTATGAGTGAGTTAGCAGCCAGTCAATGCTGGAGTGGCCAGCCAACACGGGACTGCTGAATACGCACACTGGGGAATATTAATAGAAAATCAAAATAATTTCGCGGGCCAGATAGGATTGTGCCAGATCAGGCTGCGGGCCTTGTGTGTAGACAAATGAACAGACAAACAGGCAAACAGAGAGATGAGCTAACTTGATAGCTCTGTTATATGTGCTCTGCTATAGGGTAGCTTTTGCTTGGTGGTTAGCGTTCACTTTGTTGTTAGTTTATGCTTGGTGGTTAGTTTTTGCTTGGTGGTTAGCTTTTGCTTGGTGGTTAGCATTCGCTTTGTTGTTAGTTTATGCTTGGTGGTTAGCATTTGCTTGGTGGTTAGCTTTCGCTTGGTGGTTAATGTTCACTTTGTTGTTAGCTTTCGCTTAGTGGTTAGTTTTTTGCTTGGTGGTTAGCTTTTGCTTTCTCTCTGTAGGTTTCTTTGACTCCAACTCAGAGAGATAGTAACAGCGCTGGTGGTCCTTTTTTCAGTGTATATGCACTTACAAGTGTAAGATTGACCTAATTAAAAAGAAAACATGGACTTAGGTTCCCTGGGGCTTTAAGGTGCTCCAGACTGAAGACACTGAAATAGCACCTCACTACTCATTCAGCTAATCCGAGAGTTTATTTACGGCCCACAGATCCTCTTTTGACCACATAAACAAAAACAAACACAAACAGACTCAGTTGACTGACACATTTAATTCATCACTGCTTTAGAAAGTGATTATTTATATTGTATTTGTGCTCTATGTCTATAGTTAATAACGCAGGTATCGGCCTGGTGGGGCCCTTAGAGAGCATCAGCATGGAGGAGATGAAGAAGGTGTTTGAGACGAACTTCTTCGGCGTGATTCGTATGATTAAGGAGGTCATGCCCGACATGAAGAGGCGGCGTTCAGGCCACATCATCGTCATGAGCAGTGCGATGGGACTACAAGGTGGAGGAGCATGTGTATTTGTGTGTGCTGTGAAGAATGTGAGATCTTTTTATACTTAATACTGTAAAAAAGTCAGGGACCACCTCTAATTCATTTCCAGTCAAATCAGCCGTTAGGTATGTATTACTTTAGTTGTATTTAGTATTATTCATTTGTTGCCACTGGAGCATCATCACTGCTATGGTGAGTGAGTTAGCAACCAGCCAACGCTGAAGTGGCCGGCAAACATGGGAGCCCTTGAATATGTACACTGGGTAATATTAATAGAGAATCAAAATAATTTTGCGGGCCAGAGAGAACTGTGCCAAATCAGGATAGGATTGTGCCAGATCAGGCCTTGTGTTTAGACAAATGGACAGACAGCAGGCCAACAGAGATGAGCTAACTTGATAGCTCTGTTATATGTGCTCTGCTATAGGGTAGCTTTTGCTTGATGGTTAGCATTCACTTTGTTGTTAGCTCTCGCTTCGTAATTAGATTTCTCTTTGTTGTTAGCTTTTGCTTGGTGGTTAGTTTTCGCTTGGTGGTTAGCGTTCTCTTTGTTGTTAGCTTTCGCTTGGTGGTTAGTTTTCGCTTGTTGGTTTTCTTTCTCTCTCCAAAATTTCCAGTCAAATCAGCCATTAAGTATGTATTACTTAAGTTTTATATGGTATTATCCATTTTCCAGCGCTAAGACAAAAACACAGAAAACATTTAAAAGAAACTGAAAGATTTAACAGCTAAATCTATTATCAGAGTTCAGTTTTAATCAGTTGAGAATAACAGAAGAACTCTTTTTGGTGCTGCATAGAACTATTATCCTTACTAAAGAACCCTTGAGGAACCATGTTTTTTAAGCGTGTACTTAATGGCCGATTTGACTGGAAATAAAATAAATGAACAGTAGTTTCTCACTCAGCTGTAATGTGTAATTTTCTGTGTGTTTGTGTTTGTGTGTGTGTGTGTGTGTGTGTGTGTGTAAGGTGTGATATTTAATGATGTCTACGCTGCGTCTAAGTTTGCCATGGAGGGTTTCTGTGAAAGTCTGGCTGTGCAGCTTCTCAAGTTCAATATCACGTAAGTGCTGCTCTCTTTTAGCTCCTCTGTCTCTCTCTCTCTCTCTCTCTCTCTCTCTCTCTCTCTTTCTTTCTCTCTCTCTCTCTCTCTCTCTGCTAGGCCCATGCAATGCTCTGCTATCTCAGGTGGTTGATACGGTGTTGCAAGGCCATTCCAATGGTATCCAAGATGATTGCTAAGGTGTTGCTAAGCTGTTGCTAGGGTACCCCACTTGGTTCCTAGAGTGGTGCAAGGCCATTCCTATGCTATCCCATGTGGTTGGTAAGGTGTTGCTAGGCCATTGCTATGGTATCCCACTTGGTTGCTACAGTGTTACTAAGCTGTTGCTATTGTATGCCACTTAGTTGCAAAGATGTTGCAAAGCCATTGCTATGCTACCCTAGGTGGTTGGTAAGGTGTTGCTAAATCATTGCTATGCTATCCCAGGTGGTTGCTAAGATGTTGCTAGGCTGTTGCTATGCTATCCCAGATGATTGCTACATTGCTAGGCTGTTGCTGTGCAAATGTTTGACAGCAGAATAATATGAAGTAAACAAAGAACAGTAGTTGTCAATTGCTGCACCAGTAACAGAAAGAGGCTACATATTATCGAAATAAAATTCAATTTAAATACAAACTGCATATCAAATTAGACACTAAAGAAAAAGAAAAAGAAAAGAAAAACAGGAATATAGAAACGTATGCTATAGAAAGTTAGAACACATTTGTTAAGAGAGGTAAAGAATATATGGAGAGAGGGAAAATAGACCAGGTTCCACAGAATCTTGGGAATCTATGATGAGTCTCAAAAGTGGAGAAGATTTGAAACCCATGTCAACCATTGAACGTCTGACTTTAACCACAATAATAAAATATTTTTTCTGCCAAATACATTAAAGCCCATAGTAGATATTCCTGAATGTCGTTTGGGATTATGTCAGGACTGCAGTTCTAATTCAGTTCATTTTCATTTTTCTCTTTCAGTCTGTCCATGATTGAGCCCGGTCCAGTCCACACGGAGTTCGAGATGAAGATGATCGAGGACGTTTCGCAGAAAGAGTACCCAGGTGCTGACCCAGACACCGTCCACTACTTTAAAAACGTCTACTTGCCCTCGTCTGTGGACGTCTTTCAGACACTGGGTCAGAGTCCTGATGACATCGCCAAGGTCAGCTAACTCTCGTGTTGTTGTTGACGTGTCTCACTACAGAACTGGTGTGAACAGTGAACTAAACTAACAGTAGCTTCTCAGATAAGGCTTCGTCAAGATTGGACAGGACCAGCTCACTCATGAAGATAACTATGTCACAATGCACATCAAATAAGATGCCAAAATGATACTTCACTTAAAGACTGGTATAAATTTCTTGTTTCAAGCAACGTTTTGGTGTCCCTGGTCATTGGGTTCACTCAGGTTGCCCATATGGCCTCTAAGTCAACCATGCGAGACCTGGTAGACACCAAAACTCCCCCGATCAGATTAACAGCACTGAAAGCGTTCATATTTCAAGCTGCTTCAGATCTGAATCCACAGGTGTTGGGTATTGTTTGGGAATTCTTCAGAAAATGATCAACCAACTTCTAAGACTGAACTCTGACACTGAAAAATGACAACTTGTGCTTGATTCAATAAACGAAGAGTAAGTCTCTGACTTTTGCACAGTATTGTATGATATATGGTCGCTTTACATAACTTACAAAGTAAATAATCTCAGGCTGGCTAGGAGACAAAGAAATATTCTTACAACACAACGACAAGAAACAAGGAAATAAGAACATGGCTAGGAATTGGGACAGACACTTGTGGGACTTTCCAAAGGCACAATGTCACAATAGGGATTATTCATCCACGGATACCAGAAGGTTACACACAGGACTAGAATGGAACCTTACTGATTTTACCCCCACCACTCCATCAGCCATCTCTGATTTAAGAATAAAACCAAACCCACCTCTTTCCTCAGTGCTGTTTATCGATCTAAATTTTCTGCTCTTTATCTATTTTAGATTTTTGGTTATAATGATTTGTTTACTTTTTATCTGCCAGTTATTCTGTAATCTGTTGCTTTTTTCAACTTTGTTTGTCTGGAATTATTTTGTTCATGGACTTTATAAAGTGATTTTGAGTTTGAGAAAAGAGTTATATTAATACAACCTCAAGTTATTAGTAAATTTGACTGGGGTTATTCAAACCTTTGTATACAACTGTATCTTCTTACTGAAGATGTCTTTGTAAAACCTTGAGAATATATTGAGGCATCGGTGTAAAGTTAGACACAGGGGAGGCCATGATTCCACCATGAGATTTTACTTTGTTAAACATTGGGGCAGAAAGGCACATAACAACACAGCATGAATAAGGGGGTGGGGTTCACCAGCCACACATTTCTGCTTCATGGTAGACACTCAACCACTGCCCTACACACAATAACACAGGTAATGTACACATAATCTGAACTAACAGAATATAAAGGTCAAATGCTTCGTCATCAAGCTTTCCCACGCCAGCCTCGTTGGTAAGCCTTCCCATGCCAGCTCTGCTGTTGGGCCTTGCTATGCCATCTTCCCCATGGAGCCGCGCAATGCTGTCCCTGCTGTAGCAGTTTTTGCCAGGCTCCACTCTCTCACTATTTGTCTTGAAGTTCTATGAAGCGTCATCCCACTCCAGACCGCTGGGGGAGGGCGGTGCTATCCCACTTCTGACACCAGTGTGGCATCGACATAGAGTAAGACACAAGAGAGGCCATGATTCTGCTTCGAGAATTGCTCTTTTATCAAAATACCAGCAGAAAGACACATGCAGACACAGCCATGGAGCAATCAGGTCACCTCTAGCCATAGAGTTCCACTCTGCAGTGAACATTCAACCCAACTATCTAAGCCCACTGCCCGACACTTAATAACACAGGTTTCTAATATTTTTATAAGGAGATGCACCTTGGGTTTGCAGATACACTTGGTTCTTCATATTGTTCTCTGGAATCTTAACCTGACCCACAGCTTCTTCTGAAGAAGATCCTCTGTCTCTCTTTCTCTGTCTGTCCTTCTGCAGTGCACTAAGAAGGTGATCGAGGCGAGTAGTCCCCGGTTCCGTAACCTGACCAATCCCTTGTACACTCCGATCGTGGCGCTGAAGATGGCCGATGAAACAGGAGGCCTGTCGGTCAGAGCCTTCTATCACATGCTCTTCAACCTGGGTGGACTGATGCACATCAGCATGACTGCACTCAAGTACCTGACCTGTGGGTGCTTACGCAGCCGGACCATCTCCCCAAACTAACTTTTCAACAAACACACAGACTCATTATCGCTGAGGTGGTGAGCCTTACTGCTTTGCCATGGTTACATGCCATATTTGGGGGAGGAGGGGATAATTGTATTAGTATAGTGCTGGTGATTCCCCCAAATTCAGTAATTCATTTTCATTTTCAGAGAATAAAAATGCTATGGAAGTTTTATGTGCATGTAAGTTTGTATAGATCTCATCCTCATTTTAAGAGAAAATATTATTATTAAAGTCCCCCTGCACTCAAAAATGTTTTTTAAATGGGTAACTAAATGTTTTCCATCGAAATCTCAAGCCTTTTCAGTACGTCCTTAAAAATGTTGTACTTTTGTAGCTCCTCTGTATGTCATGAATAAGCATAAACATGTCAGTACACAAAAATATTCTGATAAAAGAATTATGATGTGGTGACAGAAAATTTACTAGCTATAGAGCATGTAATGCAGCTAACTTGGTGTTTGAGGTGTTTGGACTGTGCAGTTAGCTGATAACTAAAATAGCTAAAAGATGGTGGCATTTCAATTTTGCCTGTAGCATGTAGCAGTAGCTTAGCATGCCAGAGCTTTAAAAACCACAGCACAGTTTGATTCTATGAGTGCTTAAGATAAGAGCTCAAATCTAAACTGAACTGAGCCTCTGTTTTTGTGTGTGTGAATCAGTTAGCTAAGCTAGCTGTTAGCTTAGCAAGCTAAAACAGCTTCATATACCAAAACATAATGCGGTTGTTGGAAGAAAACCTCGTATCTCCATTTTTGTTGTTTTTCAGTTTTTGACATAATTTGAAAATTCCTCTTACCCTTTACATTGTGTGTAAATTTCATGAAGAACAGACCAAAGGAAACGGCCCAAAATGACTAGGAAAAAAGTCTGGTTCCATTGACTTAAGTTAAAAGTATAGTAGGTTTTTTCCTTCTCCTGTAAAGTTACCATTTTGGAGATACGAGGTTTTCTTCCGACAACAGCGATAAGTTTTATATATATGCAAGTTTAGAGGATAAAGACTCAAAACTGAAGAAGTGAACCTATATTGTTGTGTGGAACGGTTAGCCGAGCTACTTTTACTCCTCTCTACTGTGCTTGATAGAATTAGCAGCTAGCGAGCAGCTTAGCAGTAAAGCAAGCAGGCTAAAATAGCTTCATATCCCAAAACACAGGTTCAGTATCCTCAAGTTTAGAGTGAAGTCGAGTGACCGGTGTTGGAATGACAGAAAGACCAGGGAAATTCATTAATCTTCATGTGCTAATATTTAGGGTTATTCCTGTGCCATTTTTAGTGTTTCTGTGGGCATAAAAATAGTAAACATTCAGCGTACATTATGTCTGTGGTGTAAATTATGACTTTACAGTTACTTAAACAATCATTCCTCTAGATCAGAAACACTCCTGCCTACCAGTGGTTGATTCAAAGGTGTTTCATCAAGATCCATATTCATTACATTGGTTTGATTATGTTTTCTAAGCCTAATAATATCTGCACACTTTGGTCAAATTCAGTAGTAAGACCAGACAGTGAACTGGAGAAGAGATGATTATGATTCATTATACGGAAACGTCCATTTTTGTGTCCCTAGCATTTACAGATATATTACAGTTGAAAAATGTTAGGGTTACAATTTATTTATATTTTAAAATAAAACAGTACTTTACGTTAACAGTTACACCTTCTTGAGCCTCAATTTAGCAATATTGATTTTTAAATCAATCATGTAGAATTCCAAGCGCCACAGAAGAGCTCGTCCTCACAGTCACGTGAAAGGTTGTGGCCATATTTTGAGGTAAAAAACATGTTATTCTACCATTTTAACTACAGTAATCTGTACATGACTATGGAATATACCATTTAAATGACATAAAGAAACAAATGCCAAATAAATGTTATATCTAATGAAAGTTGTGGTCCCCAGGGGTCGTGTCACTGGTGTTACTGCTGTTACATTTAGCTCATGATTTCATATGAAGCTTTTAGCTGAAGTCACTGGTGTGACCGACTTTATTCTGAGGTCATTGTGAAAAAATAGAATACAAATGGATTAAATTCCATATTTTAGTGGATTTTCCATGATTGACAACATGTGGTTTGATGCTCTGTAGCAGTTATTTTGTAAAATGCGCTGTTCATTAAAAATGTCCCTGGTGTTACTTTTCTTAAGTGTAACACCAATGATGATCAGTAACACCAGTGACTCCTATGGACAGATAGAAAAGTGGACGTTTCTGTAGAATGACCCTTGTATTGAGGGTGCAGTGAGTAGCACTGTTGCCTCACAGCAAGAAGGACCTGGGTTTGAATCCCCAGCCGGGCAACCAGGGTCCCTTCTGTGATGGACTGGGGCTACGTTCACAGTACAAGCCACTTTGCTTAAATATAATTTTTTGCTCAAATCTGATCTCTCTGACTCGATGGTTCACACTTGTTTAGTAAGTGATTCCAATCTGTCATTAATGTGACGAACCGGCGTCCTGAAATGACCCTCATGAGCTCATCCTACTCGGTAACGTCACGTGAATGAATCACGTGCATCATCAGCACAAACTAACGAGCAGAACGAGCTTCGCTGAGAAGATAATTAACTCTGATCAGCTCTCAGCTTCATTATTAGAGCGAGACGAAGGAGAAAAAGGTGAGATGAGCTGCTTTTCCACCGTTTACAGGCTTTAACTTCTTTTCGGCGCTGTTGCCATGGTAACGCTGAATGATGGAGCAGGCGCAGTGGAAAAAAGCATGTGAATTCCGATCTGAGCGTTCACAAGAAGGTCACGTATCCGATCTAGGACCACGTATGAAAGTGGCTCAGGTCGGATTTGAGAAGATCAGATTTGCGTGTCCACACAGCCCTGAAAGCATCAGATCTGAGTCACATTAGGGCAAAAATTTGTGTCAATTCAGGCTGGTAATGTAAACGTAGCTTGGCTGTTCAGGGTGTTTCCTGCCCTCTGCCCAATGGGCGCTGGGATAGGCTCCAGCACTTACAGGATGGATAATTAAATGATTATATTGAGATTATGGATCATACGAGAATTTGCATAGAAAACTCTACTGTTCATCATCTACGAGACGTCTGATCTTCAACTTGATATTAGAGCCTTTTATTCAGTGCAGTCCATGATGCTGTTATCTGCATTGATGAGCCACAGGTGGCCGAGATCATAGGAAACGTGTTTGACTTTCTGAGGATGCTGGACTTGGTGCCACCCAGTGCCAGCAGGGTTACTCATCGAAACACCATCCCTGCAAGATACCAATCAAATTGGTTATTCAGTATCATAACAAGGCATTCAATAACACTTTTGATAGATGCTTAAATACATATTAAATGCAACTAAACCTGAAGTTGAGTGTGAAAGATCCTATTATGTTTAAGCCTAACAACAAATCTAACCTACACCTACTCTTAAACCTAACCCTGACCTTAACTTCAACACTAAACCTACAGCTACTCCTAAACCTAAATCTGACCTTAACTTCAACACTAAACCTACACCTACTCCTAAACCTAAATCTGACCTGAACTTCAACACTAAACCTACAGCTACTCCTAAACCTAACCCTGACCTTAACTTCAACACTAAACCTACACCTACTCCTAAACCTAACCCTGACCTTAACTTCAACACTAAACCTACACCTACTCCTAAACCTAACCCTGACCTTAACTTCAACACTAAACCTTCACCTACTCCTAAACCTAACCCTGACCTTAACTTCAACACTAAACCTACACCTACTCCTAAACCTAACCCCGACCTGAACTTCAACACTAAACCTACACCTACTCCTAAACCTAACCCCGACCTTAACTTCAACACTAAACCTACACCTACTCCTAAACCTAACCCTGACCTTAACTTCAACACTAAACCTTCACCTACTCCTAAACCTAACCCTGACCTTAACTTCAACACTAAACCTACACCTACTCCTAAACCTAACCCTGACCTGAACTTCAACAATAAACCTACAGCTACTCCTAAACCTAACCTTAACTTCAACACTAAACCTACACCTACTCCTAAACCTAAACCTAACCTTAACTTCAACACTAAACCTACACCTACTCCTAAACCTAACCCTGACCTTAACTTCAACACTAAACCTACACCTACTCCTAAACCTAACCCTGACCTTAACTTCAACACTAAACCTACACCTACTCCTAAACCTAACCTTAACTTCAACACTAAACCTACACCTACTCCTAAACCTAACCCCGACCTTAACTTCAACACTAAACCTACACCTACTCCTAAACCTAACCCTGACCTTAACTTCAACACTAAACCTACACCTACTCCTAAACCTAACCTTCACTTCAACACTAAACCTACACCTACTCCTAAACCTAACCCTGACCTTAACTTCAACACTAAACCTACACCTACTCCTAAACCTAACCCCGACCTGAACTTCAACACTAAACCTACACCTACTCCTAAACCTAACCCCGACCTTAACTTCAACACTAAACCTACACCTACTCCTAAACCTAACCCTGACCTTAACTTCAACACTAAACCTTCACCTACTCCTAAACCTAACCCTGACCTGAACTTCAACAATAAACCTACAGCTACTCCTAAACCTAACCTTAACTTCAACACTAAACCTACACCTACTCCTAAACCTAACCCTGACCTTAACTTCAACACTAAACCTACACCTACTCCTAAACCTAACCTTAACTTCAACACTAAACCTACACCTATTCCTAAACCTAACCCTGACCTTCACTTCAACACTAAACCTACACCTACTCCTAAACCTAACCCAGACCTTAACTTCATCACTAAACCTACACCTACTCCTAAACCTAACCCAGACCTTAACTTCATCACTAAACCTACAGTTACTCCTAAACCTAACCCTGACCTTAACTTCAACACTAAACCTACACCTACTCCTAAACCTAACCCTGACCTTAACTTCAACACTAAACCTACACCTACTCCTAAACCTAACCCTGACCTTAACTTCAACACTAAACCTACACCTACTCCTAAACCTAACCCTGACCTTAACTTCAACACTAAACCTACACCTACTCCTAAACCTAACCCAGACCTTAACTTCATCACTAAACCTACACCTACTCCTAAACCTAACCCTGACCTTAACTTCAACACTAAACCTACACCTACTCCTAAACCTAACCCTGACCTTAACTTCAACACTAAACCTACACCTACTCCTAAACCTAACCCTGACCTTAACTTCAACACTAAACCTACACCTACTCCTAAACCTAACCCTGACCTTAACTTCAACACTAAACCTACACCTACTCCTAAACCTAACCCTGACCTTAACTTCAACACTAAACCTACACCTACTCCTAAACCTAACCCTGACCTCAACTTCAACACTAAACCTACACCGACTCCTAAACCTAACCCAGACCTTAACTTCAATAATAAACCTACACTGACTCTTATACTGAACTCTTATCCTAATGTTGTTGATAATCAACTGTCATCAAAATGTTTGTTAATAACGTAACTATTATAAGTAATTAAAAATTAAAATCATCTATAGGGGGCCGTTCTGTGTTACATCCACCACTTTCATTCCCAAACGTCCTCTACTAACAAACAATAACTGCTTAATGAAATTACCGCTCATAGATATCTCCATTGGAAGTGACCCCAAACACTTTTCCGTCAGTGGAAACCTCGATCATGGAAAGAGCTCCAGGTATCTGCTCCCAGCTTAAGGAGCCAGCACAAGCAGTCGGAGTCACACCCTGAAATGAAGCAGATTCAGACCAGGAATTCACTAACAAGGCAATAAATAAAGCAGGTGTCATTGTTGTTTTCATATATGTGTTTGTGTCTTTGTGTCAGTCTCTCTCTCTCTCTCTCTCTCTCTACCCTCTCTCTTCACAGGTGTATCCAGAGTTGCCAGATTGCTTTTTATTACATAGTAATAAAAAATCAAAACCTGCCAAAATGCATGAGAACACTCAAAATGTATACAGCATAACATCATTTTAACCATAATACTGCATTTAACTACGACATCAGTAATACGAGTGTATTAACTGCTGATACTTTCAAGAATTTGCCGATAAGTATTTACATTGTAGGTGGTACTGATTCTCCCACAGTGGTACTAGACATCATAGCACAGCTTTTTAATAGGGCTAGTTTTAATAAAATAGTTTGAAAAGCTTTTGTGTGTCTGTTCTTGGCTTCGTTAAGTACAAAATAGAAACATACGTAGGGGTTTGTTCCAGAATGCATTATAGACACGACACTTTCAAGAAATTTCTTGGGGTTTTTTCATGATATACGTTGTTGGGAGTGGGATTTACCAGAGGTGGGAACAAGTCACTGAGTCGCAAGTAACAAGTAAGTCTCAAGTCTTGACCCTCAAGTCCTGAGTCAAGTCTCAAGTCAAGATAATCGAGTCTCGATTCAAGTCCTGAGTCAATGAAGGCGAGTCTCAAGGCGAGTCCCAAGTCAACAGGTCTAATCTTCGAGTCCTAAACAGGTCAGTCTGCATTCTTCAGCTAATTTAAGGCCACAACAGTGAATGATGGTAACAGTGCTGAGGCCTTTTACTGACAGCACGTTAGCAGCGTATGGCTGTATATTAATTGTATAATTATTATTTTAGGCGTCCAACTAAAATAGAAACTCCATGGTACACAGATAACCAAGACATGCATACTGTATACACAAAGAGTAGTGCAACTACACATGACAAGAATTTTAAAAGTACTACAGAACCTAATTTAAAAAATTATATTCAAAGATCATTTTTGATGATTTTTGGGAACATCAGGTGTGCAGGACTAAAATAAAAAGGTTTACAGAACAGACAGCAAAATGATGGTAAATGTACGAGGCTAAAGTTGACTTCTTTTTGCCAGCTCTCGTCTCGTGCTGAATGTTGAGCTTGTTTCTGCAGAATCTGCTAAAATTGGTCAAACAGAGATGCTGTGTTTCTTTTGTTTTGCCGCCATGAGGAAACGGTCAGTTCACCTGATGAGTTTCTCCAGTAAGTGTTTAAGTGCTGAGTGAGACGCGTTGAACTGACGCTGTTGATGCTGCACTTGTTTCCGGCTCATGGAGGTGAACTTGAGCTCTAAACGCTTCACTCATCTTCCGAAATAAAATAAGCCAAGTGTATTCAGTTACGACAGGAAACAAATTCATTCATATAAAAAAACAATTGAGTCTCGAGTCTTTCCGAGTCATGACGCTCAAGTCCGAGTCAGAGTCTGAGTCACTGGTGTTAAAGTCAACAGTCGCAAATCTTTCTCGATTTTCTTGAGTCAAGTCTAAAGTCATAAAATTTGTGACTCGAGTCATGTGACTTGGACTTGAGTCACAAATTTTATGACTTTAGACTTGACTCAAGAAAATCACACCTTTGGGATTTACAGTACATATTGTAATAAAATCAAACCAGTCAGAAACTCGCGGTAAAAAGAACAAAGAATAAGAATAATTTATTATTGAAAGTCGAAAAACAGGTGATGGTCAAGTCCAGAAAGACCCAAATACAAAAAGAACCAACAACAAAAAACAGGCAAGCAGATCCAAACGGCAAAGGCAAAAAGACAAAGTCAAAGTCAAAGAATCAAAGACAGGTTCATTTTTCAGTTTTTGACATAATCTGAAAGTGCCTGTTGTTCTTTACATTGTGTGTAAATTTCATGATGATTGGACCAAAAGAAACGACCCAAAATGACTTGGAAAAAATGTCTGGTTCCACTGACTTACATTAAAGGTAAAGTACGTTTTTTATCTTTCTCCTGTTAAAGGTACCATTTTGGAGATACGAGGTTTTCTTCTGACAACAGAAGGTTCATTTCTGTTGGTCCATTCCTTGAAATTCTGGCACAAGAACATCTGATCTCATCTTCTTCAAATTACGTCAAAAAATGAAAAGAACAGAAATGGAGATGAGAGGTTTTGCCCGAAAAGCAACGATATTTATGAAATGTACATGAAAAATGAATAATAGACAAATGGTTTACATTAGTTTACATTATTATCAGTTGTATCTTCAGCTGTATCTGTAGATTACCTTCATGATAAAGATGGTGTCTGCAGAGTTGACTCCCCAGCAGCTGTACGGCCCACAGCTGTAGTACTTCAGCTTTCCTGGGATATATGTCCAGGAACCTTGCCCCCCAGTAAGGCAGAAGATATCATCATTCATGCTGACACCTGCTGGAGAGAACATTCCTCCTGCATCCACCTGTTTCAGCAGACCTTAGAGACGAAAGCAGACAGAGATGTAGAATAGAGGCAGAAGGACTGAAATTCGAATGGCTAAAGCTCTTAAACTTCACATAATCACACCTAAATACAAATACATGAGAAAGGAGCTTAAAAAACAACTCTATATATTTCACATCTTACATTAATTAATTTTTTTTTTCCAAGTAAAACACAGACCAGCACACCTGGAACAATAACCCAATCTCCTCCCACAAGTTTGTAGATGTAATTGTTGGAATCGACTCCCCAGACGCCAGCAGGTCCCACACTGACGTGCTTTAGAGATCCAGGAACCTGGATCCAGCCGGTGCTGTACAGCGTGTAGACCTCATTACTGGAGTTGACTCCAAACATTTGGCCGTTTCCAACATCAAGCTGCTTCAGCTTGCCTGGAACCACTCTACACTCCAGAGCTGTAAGGATTGCACATTATACAGGATTGTACATCATGAGATAAATGAAAAGGAGACTTATTATCCACCTCAAGAATCATCTACTTTGTGCTTTTACCACGCAAAAATCAGTGGTGGACGAAGTACACAAATCATGAGATTTGAGTTAAAGTAGAGATACCCAAGGTAAAATATTTCTCCAGTAAAAGTAGAAGTTTAGACCTCCACTTGAGTAAAAGTACAAAAGTATTTGCCTTCAAATGTACTTAAGTATCGGAAGTGAAAGTACTAAAAGATTAATTATGACTTTAATGTCCTATTATCATTACTGTAACAAGACTCGCTTCATTAACTCATTGTAGGTGAAAATACTCCAGTGTCTCTCTTGGTAAACCAGTCTTTTAATAGAAGGTCATTAATTAGTGACGCTGACGTCTATTAAAATTATCATCAGCACAAAACACTGAAGGCAAACAGTTTCCATCAGGTAGAACTGAGTGGCTCTGAAATCACTTTTTACAAACAAGCAAAGTTTCAGTTTAAGATTTATTTAACTTAGTTACAAGTTTAAGTTTAATAAAAACTTTAAACTCAGATTCACAAATGAGTTTCCTTTACTAAACTGCATCTGTAGGTCTCTGTTCATAAACATAAACTAGCCTAAACTAATTTACTATAAAATGAAATGTGTTTGTATAAATTCAGAAAAAAGACCCGTCAGTCACAACTGCATATGAGTACATATTTCTATATTGTGGTCTATTTACACAAAGTTAGGTTTGACATGTTACGTTTTTATAAACACATAAACCAAAAGGAACGACTTTCTCATAATGTAGTGGAGTAAAAAGTGAGATATTAGACTTTGAAATGTAGTGGAGTGAAAGTAAAAAGTCACCCAAAATGGAAAAACTTCAGTAAAGTACAGACACACAAAAACTACTTAAGTAAAGAAACGAATTACATTTACTTAGTTACTGTCCACCACTGCCAAAAATATTCAGCCAAGAACAGTCAGAGTAGTATCTAACTGTACACCACTAAGGTGGAGCTACAAGAGAGGGGTTTTTGATAAAGTGGCCAGCGAGTTTATAAAGAGAGAGTACACTCACCCAGGGAGGTGATGCAGAAGCTGAGGAGAACAAAGAGGACTGCTGTTCTCTCCATGGCCTTCAGTCAGAGTCAGTGTTCGTCTTGATTAGAACTGCAATGCTGAGACTGAGCAGACCTGGATAGTATAAATACTCCATGAATGAGGAACACAGTCAGGTGAATCTGATGAGGAGATGCCAAGGAGGAGCCTGTGAGGGCCAATCAGGAGTGGACGATGCCGTAGAGACTTATTTAGTTTCGTTTATTTGACAATAAAAACAAGAATGTAGTATCAGCTTGTTTGTCGAGGCAAGTATGACAAAAAGTGCAAGACTTATTTCCATTGAGGTCCTTGACATGTCAATGTGCATTGTGAAAACATGCAACCGTTAAAAAGATTAAAGTTCACTTTCCCTATATATATATATATTGTCTCACTCCCCCCAATATATATACATATTGTCTCACTCCCCCTGATCAGATTCATCAATTTATGACCAAAGGGACAGGATCAGATCCTAGATCAGCACTAAATAGCTTTGTGAATATATATCGCTGTTGTCAGAAGAAAACCTTGTATCTCCAAAACTTTACAGGAGAAGGAAAAAACATGCTTTGCTTTTAATGTAAGTCAATGTAACCAGACTTTTTTCCATGTCATTTTGGGTCATTTCTTTTTTTCCATTCTTCTTGAAATTTATGCACAACGTAAAGACCAACAGGTGTTTTGAAATTATGTCAAAAACTGAAAAACGTCAAAAAATGGAGATACGAGGTTTTCTTGATATGAATCTCATTTTTCTCTTGAAATCTCACGTGGTACAAAATTCCTTGAAATGAGAATGTTTACTTAACACTATCTGCTTTTAAATGAACGTCTTAATGGCCTAAAATAAACACTGTAATAAACACTCTGTGCTTGAAACAAGAACCATTCCTGAAAATTCTTCTCAAGAAGAGCTATGAAATGCCGCTACCAGGGATTCCCCTTTTCTTGGCTTCTGCCCTGTCTAGTCTGTTTCCTCGTCCCATGTGCCTTTGTTTTGGTTTTAGCTCCTTCCTTGTCCTGCCCTGTCATCTGTTCTCATCTGTATCTAGTTTCTAACGCTGGCCTCGTTTAGTGTTTGCAGGTGTTGTTTGTCATCAGAGTGTGGATTTGTACTCCTTTGTTTCTCTTGTCCAGGGAGCCAGCATTGTTGATGTTCACTGGATTTGTTTCCCTCTTGCGTTTTCTTTCCACATGTTTTCTGTTTTAGTGTCTTTGTACATCCTAGTTCCTGGTGTTCTTGAGTTTCATGTCTCTCATGGATCCCCCTTTATATCGTCCTGCCGATCACGTTGATGTTCCTTGTCAAAGCTTTAATAAAAGACAATCACACTTGCACCCTGTTTCCTCATTTGCTGTGCCTGTCTCCTCTTTCCAGCCACACATATGATAAACTGTTTTATTAACTCCACAGACAAACAGAGTGGATTAAAAAACACAGAAACTGAAAATTCAGCTGCTCGTGCGGAGACCCTGCAAGCAAATGATTGACGGAATAGATTTGTACGTTTGAGATTATTTAGCTTGAAATGTTGAAAGTATAAAAGAGTGAAAGACTGAATTTCTCGACAACTTTACTCATTTTAAGAGTGCAATGTTTTTGAATGTTTAAGATTACAAAGCGAGACTTTTTTCCAATTTAATTTTTTAAATTGTGTTGATTTTTCTTCTTTCCTAGTGCAGAGCTTCAAACATTTCACTTCAAAGTTTTATTACACACTTTTATAACTCAGGAATTACACAGTTATCAGTTTATCAGTTATCAGTTTGCTTCGAAGTCCCTGTAGTTACTGAATAATAATCATTAATATCTAGTGAGTCAGGAGTTTTAAGGGGGTTAATGACTTTTTAAAGTAGTCATAACATCTGATCTGATTTTGAAGCTCCTTTGGTCAAACTAAGCACTTTTTTCATTAGAGTTAATGGAATATCCTTGATGAAAATGTGTATGAATTACAAAACCAAAAGCGAACTGGATTTTGGTCTTTGTAGGTGAGCAAGCAGATCAACTGTTTTAGTGTTATTTCGTTTAAATGCTGTTTGTTTATTGCATCAGTTGTACAGAAGTGTTTGGTGCAAAGAAGGCTGCAATTTTATCTTAGCACCACCATCTTTGTGGAGAGGTCACATCAGTGGTTTCTTAACCCTCGTCTTTCACCCCTCATTGCTCGATAGCAGCTCAACACAAAAGTCACAACATTTCACACACAGAGAAAACCTAGTCAGTCTGATAACAGAGTAAAGGGGAGATACAGTTTATTTGATTTTTGTTCATTAAAACAAATCTGAGTCCATTTCTGTTCTGTCTCTGGAATCGACATAAATCAAAGTTTATTTATGTAATGCTTTTTACAACAGGTGCTGTCACAAAGCAGCTTTACAGGAAAATCTGTGTCTGAGCCCCCATGAGCGTCGCCAGTGGCGACAGTGGCAAGGAAAAACTCCCTAAGAGCAAGAGGAAGAAACCTTGAGAGGAACCAAGACTCAAAAGGGGAACCCATCCTCCTCTGGTCAACACTGGATAGCAAACAGTGTTAGTATAAAATATTAGAATATAAAACGGGGAAAAACAGGTGGAGCAACGGTTCATTAGATAGTTTGAGTTTATGCAGCAGCAGCAGGAGGGTCAGTTCATGCAGGTGAAGTTTGCACAGCGCTGTACAGTGAGAAGCTCCATGGTGGTCAAGCCGGTCCAGAAGGCTGGCGAGCAGTGGCACCCGATCAAGGCAGAAGAAGCAACAGCATCAGATGCACAGGATGGGCAGCTGATCAACTCAGCAAAGAAAAGGAAACACACAGAGAGTCAGTTCTGTAAAGAGGGACTGATCACAGATTACAGTGTTAACAGGGCAGCAGGGACGACAGCACCAACACTCCCAGTTTACCATGATACTCTATGACCATGAATCCCAGATCTACACCTAATTACACTAATTACCAAAGACTCCACTAAACAAGTAGGTTTTTACTTGAAAAGAGGATATAGAACAAAGTGTTAAACATACAATGTTTATAAAACTGCAAATTATATTCATCAAATGAGAATGTAAATAAAGGGCATGGTGGTCTCAAAAGGGAGGATGATTTTTTTGGAATTTCTTTCTACTTGGGGGATGTCATGCCCTTGCATCTCCCATCAAACAGAGTCCTTATTATACCTTATATAAGGAAGACTAGAAAGTCATTATACAAATAAGGAAAAAAGAGACGCCTGTATCTTTTAAAAGGCTATTCTGTCTCACATAAAGGAGTTCATATCATCAACCCAAAACCCTGCATAGAGGGATGCACTGAAGGTGGAGTGGAATACGTATATATGGCTCAGTGTGATCGTGTCAGAGGAGATGCTGTAGAAGGACAGAGTGCTGGCCTCTCATTAGGGGATGTTTGCTAAGGCTGGCTCTCTGGCCTGAGTAAAGTGATGGGGGTATGGAGCCATGGAGAGGTGGCCAGTTTAAGTTTTGTTTATACTGTATTTTTTGAGTGAGAACAAAGAATATGCTTACTGTAGATGTTTCTCCTGCCTCCAGCGGACAGTCATTGAGCCCGTAGACCATGCTACAGGCTCAATGACAATAGGTAAAAAACAAAAAGAATTAAGGCCAGCAAACAGTGTCAGAACAAGATTTGACAGTCTTAAAAAACAGGAAAAACAGCCCAGGGTCAAAAGCAAGTGCAGACATGAAACAAAGCAAAAAACAATGTTAATGGCTTAGAAATTCTAGAAATTCTAGAAAATGAGAAACTTTGCAAGCTGAGTGAGAGTTTTTAAAGGGGAAAGTGGAACGATCTTCAGGTGTGGAAGGGAGAGAGCCTAAGGATGGGCAGAGCCAGTGATCAGTACCCCCGTCTCAAGGGGTGGCCCCAGGTGCTGGGCAACGCCTGCACTTGGGATGGCCACAGGGACACAGAGTGGGATGGTCCTGCCATCTAGGATGAAAATCCCTAGTTCCCTTAGATGAAAATCCCTAGTTCAGCATCCAGAATATCCCAAGAGGGGACCCTACACCGCTCCACTGGGCTGTACCCCTCCCATTCCGCAAGTTATTGGAGGCGGCCCCCGGTTGCTGGGAGTCCAGGACAGTACAAATGGGGAAGCCTGGGAGCCATCAATTTCCAGTGGTAGAGGAGCATTTTCCACCTCCGCCAAGGGACAAGGACCATCGGCTTAAGTTGGGAGATATGGGACGTAGATGAGATACAGAAGTCAGGCGGCAGTTGAAGTTTATAGGTAACAGGATTAATGTATTGGAGTGCATTAATTGGTCCAATATAATGGACACTGAGTTTCTTACAGGGTAAATGGAGTCTAATGTTTCTAGTGGAGAGCCAGACATGATCAGCAGTCTGAAACTCTGGGCCCCGCTATGATGCCACTTCGCCTGTGCTTTATGAGGCTCTTGGGCCCAGTCTAGTTGAACATGACCTGCCTCTGTTCTGCATTAGAGAACCATTCAACCACAGTTAGTTCTTTCTCACTGCCTAAATTCCAAAGGAACAACAGTGGTTGATATCCAAGAACACACTGGAGTCATACCTGTAGATAAAGGGCAGATCAAGTTTTGGGCATATTATGCCCAGGGCAAGAACTTGACTCCTTGGTCCTGCCAGTCATGATTGTGGCTCCACAGGAAAAGACCCAATTCCTGATTGGTCTTGTCCACTTGACCATTATCTTGAGGGTGGTAACCTGATGTGAGGCAGACCATGACACCCAGTCTCTCCATGAAAAGTTTCCACATCCGGGAAGTGAATTGCGGGACGTGATTAGACACAATGTCCTCAGGGAGGCCAGCAGAACACCTGTTTAAACAATGTCTCTGCCACCTGAAAGGCATTAAGCAAATTAGGAAATGGGATCCATTGACCAACCTTGGAGAATCAGTCAACTACAAGCAAGTGTAGTTGTGGTGTAGCCGTTGCAGGGAGGTAGGTCAGTAATGAAGTCTATGGAGATGTGTGACCATGATCTTTGGAGAATACATAACGGAAGTAGTTTACCAGCAGGTAAAAGTGTTGTCTCTGTAGGCCAGTTCAGTTTGGATGTCCTCCCTTAATCCCTTGCAAAAGAGGGTGATGAGAGCTGGCTCATTCCAACTGGTCAAAGTGGCAATACTTCAGAATTCAAGTGCATCCTTTGATCTTGTCTCAGTAAATGCTTTCCACCTGCCTTTCTGCCCTCAGGGGGGTCAAAGAGTGTTAACTAATGATGATATTCTGGGTTTGAACACCTGATTTAATTTTCTTTGCTGGTTGTAAGATACTTTAAACAAACTAATAAAAAATATCTTGCACCTCTATGAATGGCTTCTTACTCGACTTTTCCATTCCACCTTAAATTTAAGGTGGAACGGGAATTTGAGTAACAAGCCAACTTCAGTTCCACCATGTCACCATGTTAGACCAGCCCACTGACTTTGATGGATGATGTTGACAGAATTAATTGTTTCCTAGTGTGAAGTAAAGTGGCAACCATGAAATAAGGTTAAATAAATAAATGGTCAAATAATGACATACCTGTTTAAGAATTACAATTTGAAAGGAAGGTAGTTTAAAGCAACCAAAAAAATATTCTGGAAACCACAGTTACCTTGTTCAAATCAGGGAAATTGTTAAGTCACTCAATGTTAATGTGATCTATCTTTATGTATAATAAGGAGGAGGCTTTAGTGACAGAAGCTACACCTTCAGATGAGCTAATGCTAGATGTTGATCTAGATGTTGAGCCTATTCCACATTGCTGAAAACGTCTTTTTTAAGTGATGTTTAGATTCAGCAGGGCTGGCAGCAAAAGCTTTGGGGGTAACTAGTTTGTTAGAACATGCGGTGTTTGGTTTCGTAAAACACAACATTTCTCATTTAAACCATAAAAAGCCATTTGTACCTTATCCGTCCACATAACATTTATTTCGATAGTCTTCTCGTTCATCCAAGTGGTCTTTAAGAGTCTTTAAACAGGCAGAAATGTTCTTCTTGGAGAGTAGATATATACTATTATTGTCCAGTGTTGACCTTCTTGTGGACTGGTTGTGTATTCTCTGGATGGCATATCTGAGACGATTGACTGAATCAGTCTTGCGAGTTGTTGTGGCAGCTCCTGCTGGGCTCCTAGCAAAGCTCCTTGGTTCATTATCACCATCCATAGCTCTTCATTTTCTCTTGTGCTCATTCTGAGGGCTCAGTCTTGCTGTCACATTTCAAAATATGTGAGCACAAATGTAGACCAGAACGCAGTGGGAGGTTCTTATATCTAAAGTGGCTTTACTTAAGCAAAACGAAGTAAAACAAAGCAAAATACTTTGAAGGCTAAAAAAACAAAACCCAAAGTACACAAGAAATAAGTACACAAGCAAAACATGGAAAAATAGCAGAAAGGCTCACCACATTAGAGTCTTCACACTGGAGACTCATAAAGCCAGTATGATGAGACACAGGTGAACCACATGAGTTGATGAACTCAGGTGTGGGTTTCATTTCTATGCCACATCTAGGAGGTCTAGAAGTTTCCCCTACAGTACTGATACTTTGGCACCACCTGCTGTTTAGATGCAATATGACAAAAAAAGCCTACACGTTCAAAAAGTGGTGGGGACAAAATTTACATTTACAAAACGGGTGGGGACATGTCCACAGTGTCCCCAACATAGATTATGTCTGAGCTTTGTGTTGTGTGTTTTGTATTTGATTCACCATCATGGTAAAATAAAGAGTTTCCATATAGTTACACTCTGTCTATTAGCTGCATGTGGCTACAGAGACCAGGTTACTCGCATTTCAGAAACTGAAGAGAGGCATTTATAACTAATAAAAGAAAAGCTTCTTTTTCCTAATTTACATATAAACCTCTGATTGGTGAAATGATCAGATTTATCAGATTTTATTATATTCCTGTTTAATGTGTGGTAGTGGAGAACTACACAGACAGATACACTGAAAAAAATGACTCTTTGAATTTACTTTTTTTTTGTCAAACTGTTGCACGAAATTAAATGATCTACATTCAGATATATAATTTGAGTAACATTTACTCATTACCTATAAGCAATGTCAATTTAACTATATTTTGCAGGATTTACTTCAATAACTTAAGTAACTTTAATTAAAATGAATCATGTTCTTTCTACTTAAGCAAATTATGTAGATTGTAGAAAACTTTTTTTTTGTTAAAACAACTCAAATTTGATGCCTTTCTGATGACATTTACTCATTGCTTGTAAGTTTTGTCAGCTTATATTTTGTAAAATTTCCTTGGTGTAATTGTAACTAAATTTAATCATGTTCATGCTATTTCATTAAATTATGTAGATTGTTAAATAACTTTTTTTGTAAAACTACTAAATTTTGACGTATTTCCAAATATATATCACAGAGCATTTATTAATGTACAATTTTAAATGTTAATTTTCACAAATTAAACTTCAGCTACACTTATTAATGTTCCATCTATGTAAACACCTGGTCAAGACAATGACTATCAATAAAAATTTACAGTGACTTTATTAAGGTACATCAAATGCACATGCATATTAGGATCAACTAAAATGCACATTTGCTTTACCACTATAGAAAAACACTGAATATGAAGTAATAAAACAAGACTGTAGACAAAGTAAAGCCGAGTAGTAAAAAATAGACTAAATACTTCTCTAAAAGTGCTCAGCTATCAATACATTATTGCTTGTCTTGCAGGCAACACAAGCTAAAATGCAACTTTACATACAACAATACGCTTCAAACAGAACACTGCAATTATAAACACATTCACCTAAATGTGCCTTTAATTACAATTAATTAAGTCTTAAGTAATGGCCCAGAATTTGTGAAACAATAAAGTAACATGCAGTAATTATGTAATGATAACACCAACCTTCAGTGCAACTTTACAACAGCAGATATTTAAAATAGAGCAGCACAATAACACAGTATTAACGTTATATGACTTTATACAACATCCAATCGTCAACAATGATCAAAATAATGCCCCAGAAGTAGCGCCAACAGAGTACAACCTTCTTGTTAAAGCACTGCTTCTAGTTAGCACAACCTTATTTTGCTTGTTAGACTTTGCAGATTTGAGGTGAAACTTTATAAAGCTCAAACTGTTCAAAAGGCTACTTTGTACAGCTTCAGCAAAAAAGACTCTAAAATTTAAAATTTTAAAAGAGATGTTGACAAATACAGCCATTCTTGTTTCATGTGACTTAAGCGTTGTTCAAAAGTCTATTGCTTTTCAGTCAAAGCAGAAGCTAGTGTGAAAAAGTCCATATATTTCCAGAATGGACAGCCTACTTTGACTATCCCAAGATTTTGTTTTCCAAACCAAGAATATTAGGGGAGAGCTTTGCACCATCCGTTGGCATGAGGAACATACAAATTCATAGCAGCACTTCCGCCCATTGTGGTGAGGCATATTCAGTGCACAGATTACTCCAAGCATTACTGCAGTCTGGTGCAACTGATTTGATGTTTCCTACAATAACGTTTCCATCATATTCTCCAAGAGCTCCACCCTCTTCTGATGACATGAATATCAATTTCAGTGCTGTGCTGGTCTCTCAGTATGTCTTCACCAAGAATGTCCTACAGATTAAATCTTGTTATTAATACTAAACTCCATTGTACTCTTGCTCCATAAAGAGTTCAGTTTATTTCTCATTTGAGCTCTTCTAAATACTTCCAGGCACCTCCGACAGTTTTTTTTTAATATCAAATACTTATTTTATGATGAATCTAAATAAAATCAGCCCCCATCTCCACAAAACTGGAGAATTCAATGGTAAAATACACACTATAAAATGGACAGTTCTAGTTCACCCTTCTCACACTGGCACCTACAATCTATGGTTGGTCCTAACATACTAACACACCAGCGCCGCGTTTTGATTTGGATTTACTACACAGATGGGAGGGGCTGATTTTATTAAGCAAATGTTATTAGCAATTGATATAAGAACTGAGGTGCCTGGAAGACACACACAGTATTTAAAAGAGCTCAAATATGAAATAAGATGAATTTACCTTAGTTAGACATTAGAAGTGAATTAAAATGATGGTGATGTGCTCAGGTCACATACTGACTTACCCTGTACTCCTTGATAAGAAATCCATCATCATCATTCAGGTGTGGACAAAGAGCTTTTATGATGGCTTCTCTTTTACGGTGGACATTCTTCACCATTGATTGCACTTGTTAGAATATACCTTCAACTGTTTAAAGAAAAAAAGAAAAAAAAGGTACATTAACTTGATAAGCATACAAGGAACAGATAAAAGAAACATATGAACATCAAAATCTTGATCATCTTAGAGACTGAAAAATGATTACTAATTTGAACAATAAAACAAATAAATAAAAAGCAGCTTTACAAAACAAATAGCCTCATAGTTAAATATCAAATCTGGATCATAAAAATGCACCTACCAGAGACGTAAAACATGCCAGAGAATCCTTTAAAACTCGGCACTCAACAACCTTGGTAAGCCTTAACCTATAAACAAAGAGGACTTTTAATTAAGCTTAAACGAAAAACCATGTTAACGTTTTATCTTAAACATAAGCTTTACTTTAATGTTATATCACTTTACCTTAATGTTTTATCTCACCATGTGGAAGGACACAACAGTGCATTATAATTTATTAGTCTTACAATAGTATATATTATTTTACTCATATTTAGCTATTTGTTTTAATCCTGTGAGCATTGTTTTAGTTTGAAACCAACTATGATATTTAAGTCACATCAAGGTTCTTTTAATCAATATAGCTTTCAGCATTCCCTGTCTAGGGTTTGTGCATTATTGATCATCAAATATGTATAATAATTACTTCTACCACTTGGCACTTGAAGACCATAATGTTTAACATAAATGCAGGTTGACTAAACATAAGGTAAACCACATTTTGGTAACAATGACAGGGGGGTCACATGAGCAAAATACATGTGTGTGTGTGTGTGTGTGTGTGTGAGTGTGTGTGTGTGTGTGTGTGTGTGTGTGTGTGTGTGTGTGCGCATCATCTTATATACAAACTTATATTCTGATTATAATGATGATCAGTGTCACTCTGCTGTTATACAGGCAAACATAAACCTCTTTTCCACTACAGGGCTGAACAGTTAGATTATCATTAGCTTGCTAATTAACAAGATAATGGATTCTATCATGCCGAACTGAATCTCCACTGACAGTTCTGACAGAGTAAAGTCGAGCGATGGGTGTTGAAGGAACAGAAAGCTGAAATAAATGTTAAACCTGCTTCGTGGTGTTTGTAGCCTACTAGCTAAGTTAGCCAGCTAGCTGCTAACACTAACGTTTGCTTAGCTAACTAACGCTAGCTAGCTGCGCTAATGGTATCAGAGTCCATGCTGGAACAACACATTACAAACTGGGTTCATCGAACAGAGCATTAAGTGTTAAATGGACAGACGTTGAAATTAAACCAGGTAACTGATGTCTGTAACCTACTAGCTGCTATCGCTATGTTTGCTAAGCTAACGCTAGCTACAATAGCGTTAGCAGGCTCCATATCCAAACCCCAGGCTCGGTGGAGCTAGCTTGCTAACAAAGGCTGAAATTACACAGGTTTGTGGACACCTAGTACCCAAATATCACATCCAAAATCACAGGTGAAGCGAGCGCAGCCTCAGAAAAGATTATTACAGGTCACGTGAAGGACACACAACTAGCTAACGCTAGCTAGGTCTGTTTACTAAGAATATGTGTTGAACTGAGTCCCTCACAAACTTATGCTATGCTAGTCGTCCCTTAACTGTACGTTTTCAGTTTTATCCAGCGCTGCGTTCTGTGCATCTACAACCACTAAACGATATTTACCATGTACTTGTACGATGACAGAGCAGCTAAACACGCTCGTCTGCAGTGAACCATAGAAAATGGCGCCGTTAGTAGGCTAGCAGGCTAGGTCCACAGTGCCGTTAGCTAACGGCTGTGTTGATGATCAAACTTAGTGAGGACCTCAACATGACAGATACTTATGAAGGACACACTATATTAAAACACTGACCTTTACCATTAAAACACTGCGGTCAGCTTTAGTGAGTTTAGTGATTATTTGTCTGAGTATTGTTATGTGTTTTTTGAATCTGCGTCAGTTTAAACTAACCTGGCTAGCTAGCTAAGTCAGCTAAGCTAGCAAATTTTAAGCCATGCTAAGTCCTCCCTTAACCTCACGGTTTTGCCAGTATTTTTCTGCGTAAATGTCATGAATATGTTATATGTCCATACTGACAAACAGACAATATACAGTATCCTGTCTTGTGAATGTCAGATGACAGAATTTCCTCAGGTCAGCTAAATCCTCCCAGAGACGAGGTGTAGAAAAGCTGTGTCTGCGCATGCGCAGTTTCTACCCCTCGACACAACATAATTATTTCTAACTCACTTTAAGCGAGTTTCATACGTTTAGTTTACTGGTTTTCAACATTGCTTATTATTATTTAGTTGAAGCAAAAACACATTTAAATTGAGAAAAACATGCACAATTGTATTGTGTAAAATTTACTAAGGGCCAAGTTCATTTTTTTCAGTGTAAGCAATATGTTACATTTTTCAATCATATTGATAATCAACTCTTTACATCCTCTGGAGCATTTACAGTGGGTGTTAAAGTCATGTCAAATCTGAAACCAAGTTGAGATGTTGAGAAATATCTAGAACTATCTGACCCCTCCTCACAAAAAATGTTAGAAACTTGCATTTAACTTTGGTGATGCTTAAACATAACAAGTGTCTGTCTGTGACAGCATACATTAGTTAATAATAAAAGTAATAACAATAATTATGATAACTTTATGTATAGAGCAGTTAACATGACACTTAGAAGCTCAAAATGCTTTATAATGAAATTTATGAGAAAATGTGGCTTTGTAAAACCCAGGTGTGGTAGCTAGATGACACGATTTAAATATGTAATCATATGTGTATGTGTGTCAGTTGGGAGACATGGTCCAGTCACATAAGCTCTTCAGTACAGTCATGCTGAAGTATAGTATAAGGCTCTGACTGACTGAAAATGTTCTCCCTGTAACAACCTCTCAAGTGGATGAAGAAGCTGCAAAGGGTGAGGATGAGTGATGCCTGACCAGTTTCTTAATGGAGCTGCATCCTAGATTTGTGAGATGGAAATTACACCACTCCTGCATCGTGATCCATAATGACTCAAGTTTGAGGCAGCTATGGCAGAAGCTCTGGTGTTGGAGGCAGAATTAGTGGAATGTATTATATTGTTGCTCAAGTCTAGGTGGTCCATTCAGCATAAGCCCCTCACCAAAGCATTAGGCAAGAATGTACCCAGTTTGATCTGGAAGCTTTGAAAGAAAGCTTCCGTCAGAGCTACAATAAGAATTGGCTACACAGATGAAGGCTCTTGGAAATAAGCTGGTGGAAGAAGAGAGAAAATTACCCTGTGCACCATCTCCCTCAGCCCCAGGGACCAGCGTATGGGGTAGGCATACCCCATCTTCAGCAACATGACCCCTATGGCGGACCTTGACCCAAGAAAGAATAGATGAGATGAATAAGGACATCACATTTGTTTGGACTGCAGAGAAGTAGGACACATTAGTGCTACTTCCCCTGGCACTGACAGCCATCCACAGATTTTTAGTGACCTTTGCTGCAATGACCACATCTGACGTACTCTCAAAGCCATCCGTGTTAGGTCAGTGCCCTGTGTAGAGGTCAAAAAGGTTTGCTCTGTTCCCACTTGCTTCAAAACCCCAATCACCATTCTAGTCCACAGAAAAACAAACATTACTGGACTAAATGACTACAGGCCAGTAGCACTGACCTCTGTGGTCATGAACGTCTTCGAACACCTGGTCTTAGCCCATCTGAAGGCCATTATCCACCTTCTGCTGAGTCTCCTGTAGTTGGAGTAAAAAGATAACAAGTCGATGACATGTTCAACTTGCCTCTACACTTCACGCTATAACTTCTCAACAGTCCTGCAACCTATGCTAAAGTTCTGTTTGATGACTTTAACTCAGCTTTCAACAACATAGTGCCAGAGTTACTGCAGGTCAAACTGCTTCAGCTGTCTATGCCAGATCCCATCAGCCAGTGGATCATGGATTTCCTGACAGTCAGGCGACAGCAGGTGCAGCTAGAAAACACACCTCAGATCCCCAGACCCTCAGTACTGGAGTACCACAAGGTTGTGTGCTCTCATCCCTTCTCTTCAGGCTCTACACCAATGACTACATCTCCAAGGAACCAGCTCTGAGAATCCTGAAGTTTACAGATGACACCACTATGGTGGGCCTCAGCCAACGGAGATGACTCTGCCTACAGAAAGGAAGTCGAGCAGCTGGTTTACTGATGCTGCTTCCCACACAAAAGACTGTAGAGATGGTGGTGGACTCATCTCTATAGCTTTCTTAGTAAACTGCAGAAGAAAAGAGAAATAGAGGGAGAGTTTCTTCTTTAGAAGAAGCTGTGGAGCAGATCATGAATCTATTAGAAAAATATCAAGAATTCAGTTATTTATACTCAATATATATAAAAAAAACTTTAGATGATTGATATTTATCATGACTATTTATGGCTTTAACGAATACAACAGTGGCAACAAAGGGCATGTGTTCTTTGCTTTGGCACCTTGTGGTTCCACTCAGATTTGGTCAACATCCTTCCAGCTCTGCAACTCCTCTGGGCTGCATCCTGGTCTTGTGTGTAACTTTCTGTTCCTGCCCAGACTCCTCACATCTTCATTGTTTGCCTGTCAACAATGATATGGTTATCTTATGTTATCAGTATCTGTGGATTGAAAGTCCCTATTGTGTCTTTGCAAAGCCCTACATGTTTTTCTTGGCTGGATCTCTATTAAACTTTGGCCACATTTGGAGGAAAGGTACACGAGGCAGGAGTAGTTCAACACAGAGCTTGAATAACTTATCAGCTCTCATACACACAACACACGTTTTCTACCTTTTTCTGTCTGGCTCCTTTCTGGGCTCCATGTTTGAGGAATCCTCTCTCTCTGGTCTCTGGCAGCCTACTGAGGAAACACACACACATACGTTGGCCTCCATTAACCATGTACAGGTGTAAACCATTACCAATTACCTACTAGTTCCTCAAAACCACTGCCCTACTGCTGAAAATTAACTATCCATCCACTGCCACATGACCCACCAACTGACCTCTGAACAGCCAGAGGGATTACAAATTGGTGTAAACCATTTGGGATAGAGAAGACCTTTTTCATGGAAAACTGGAGTCAATGGGATCTGCTGGTAAGCTTTTGTTAAGTCCGGTGTTGAGTAATGTGAGCTGCACCTAACCAACAGAAGAACTCATCAAAAGGCAGCACAGGATAAGCATCAAATTTAGGCCCCACATTGACTTTTTGACTCCTGTCTGACTCAAGGCTGTGCACAACCACATCAAGAGGAATCTAGATGTGATGTTCTTTGATGTAAGCACAGCCAGATAGAGGCGAGAACACATTGGATAACAATGTACAACTG